AACTGTGCATGATTACTAGTAAGTTTAACAAAATTCAAAATAGTACAAATGTGAGAGATGTTTCTACCTGTATACATTAAAAATAAAAAAAAAATAAAAATAAATAAAAAAAGATCTTTCCAAGTAGTTTACCATGACTTGCCTGAGGTTATTTTCAAGATTCCTTCAGGGCAAGAGGGAATGGTTGTACATGTTATACTGCAATCTTTCAGTGTCACAAAGCTTTTCATTCTCACTTCTGAGCAAAAATAAATAAATAAATAAAAGGGAAAAGTTTAACCAGCTCAGCTTTTTCAGATATGATTATAAGAAACAGCACTTGAATGGGCAAGACAAGAGCTCCAGGGGCAGACAGGCATAACAGGAGCCACTGCTCTGCAAAGTGGAATTCCTCAGCCCCATGAGAAAACGAGAGCAGACCGTGACCTCAGTTAAAGCAGCAGATTGTGGCTCAATTGGAATGATTCTGTTTTCCAGCAGGTCGAGGGAGGTGATCCTGCCCCTCTGCTCAGCCCTGATGAGGCCACATCTGGAGTATTGTGTCCAGTTCTGGGCTCCACAGTACAAGAGGGATGTGGAGCTGCTGGAGAGAGTCCAGCGCAGGGCTACGAGGATGATCAGGGGCCTGGAACATCTGCCCTGTGAGGAGAGGCTGAGGGAGCTGGGCCTGTTCAGCCTGGAGAAGAGAAGGCTGAGAGGGGACCTGAGCAGTGTCTAGAAGTACCTCAAGGGAGGCAGTGAGGAGGATGGGGCCGGCCTCTTTTCACTGGTGGCCACTGACAGAACTAGAGGTAATGGCCACAAACTGAAACACCAAAAGTTCCACAGGAACTTAAGGAAAAATTGAAAGAAAAACCTACATTCCCGCTGAAGATAAAATCAAGTGGTCTGATCTAGCATGTAGCATGCTGCCGGCACAGGAGAAGAGAAAGCCCATGAATGTCTCGATTCTTCAAAAACAGAGACTCTCCAGCTGGCTCCAAATTAAAATAGCCAATATCTCCACCATAAAACAGCATGTGTAATGGACCTTATCATAAAAATCTGCAGGTGTTGAATCTCTGATCAGGTTAGAACTATAGACTTTGCATGGTGGAGTCCAGGATTCAGGACTTGCGAATGAAGCTTCATTGCCATCTTTTCCTTTTACTTCATTACACTCAAAACATCACAGATCACTAATGACACCTCATTTAAAGGCCTGTGTTTTACAGTATGACGAAAACATGATGTGCAACTAAATATTGAATAAAAAGAACAGGACATTGAAAGAAAAAAGAAAGAGCAGATGTCAGAAATCCCTTATAAGATTTGAACACTCTGAAAAGGGTTATATCATCAGCTGTTTGGCAGAATTCTCAAGAACAGAACGGGAAGTTAAACTAAAACTCTGTAAACATTTCCCAATTTAAGCATGTTAGTAAATGTTACACTTTACAAGCATGCAAGCCATCTAAGCACATCTTGTATAATTGCTTGGAAAAAGGGCAGATATCTTGTAAGGAAAGTGCTATTGCTGACAGGTATAAGGAAAGAGCTGAAAGCATAAGCTGAAAGAAAAGGTCAGAAAAAGAATCAAGTAAAATATGACAGACATTTACAAAAGAGAATCAATTAACATGATAAAAAATAGTAATGCACATTACACTTAAAAAAAACTTTTCTGCAGTGAGATTTGCTATAATGAGTTAAATAAAATAGACTTAAAAAGTTAAGTGAAAATACGAGTAAGAATTTTAAGATGCAGGATAAGAGAAGGACATCTTTCTGGAAACATGCAGATATACCCAGTAAAATGTCCTCTGATATCAATTCTGTAATGTCATATCACAAACATATTACAATTTAAGTTAGCTAAAATCTTCACAGGCACATTTAACTTTTCATGGTCTTAGTCATGCAGGTGCTGATTATCTCTAATTCCCATAGTTAAAATAAGGGAAAGATCACTAGCAAAATGCATTACTTAAAAAGTAATCAAATGTACGATAATGAAAGCTAAAGAGTACTAAGGATTCTTAAAATTACAGGTGGATATAATCAGTAAGATTATCGGTGAATTAGATTCTCTGAATATGCATTGGATAGCATCGTCTAAGTTCTCTTATCATATTTAAAGCACCACTTTTCATTATCATCCCTCGATAGACAAGTGGTGCTTCTAGTTTTTAAGAATGTCTGATTATATAATACCATTTATTACGTAAAACTGGTCCTTAGCCATTCCCAACCACACCTTAAACATATATCCCAAGTATGTTCAGAATAAAATTTTCAAAGGAAAAATTCAACAGCCACAATTTGAGTTCAATCTTAGATTTGGCTGTTTCTTCCTTGTGATATGCTTCCATTTCCAAATTTCTGTTTCTACTTCCATTTTCCAAAACATTAGGACGTGATACACATTGGATTTTATCCCTCCCTGAAACCAATGCTTTGACTCAGAGTGAAAACTCTACAGATCAAAAACTTCATTTATGCTCTATAAACAAGAGCGTTTGCTATGATTTATAAAATCTCGTTACATTGTCACTTCTTGGGCCTTCTCTTACTTCTTTAGCCTACTTCTTAGGCTAAAATGTCTGCAGCAGCTCCTGTGTGTGTAACCAGCTCCCAGGGAAGATGATCTTTTACGCATTTTGCTGGCAAGAAGGAATTATCCTCCCACGTCTGGCTGTATTTTATTTTTTCCAGGAAGCATTCTACTATTCATACTAAGCATACTATTATTAGTGCTGAGATCCACGGATGCAGAGTTCCCATTTAACTGAGTTAATTTAGTAGTTCCCAGAGTTAGGCAAACATCACTGCAGTTCACAAGACAGTTAGAGGACAAAATACATCTCCTCTATGGACATCTAAAATGATACAATTACACAAGCTTAGGGCTTTGATTGTTTAAAACTGCCTCAGTAAGTACAACACATTCTTTGGTAGTTAAAATGTGGCATTAGCTAGAGCACATGGTATTCTCTCTGCATTTTTTCCCTTGAAGTTACTATTTATTTAAGAACTAAATTCATTTTCTATACTGAAACATAACACGAGTCATTTTTTTACCCTATTATATTTCTTTTCCCCAAGGTTTCATTTTTATTATGTTATCTGAATGGATACTGAATTATGGTTACATAGCAACCTCTAAGTCAATTGGAAATTGTAAGAACTATATAAAGAATAACTGATAAAAAAAAGTTCAAAAAGGTATGAAATGACCAAAGAAATATGGAAAAAAAAAAAAAAAGAAAAAAAAAAGAAACTCTAAGCAAAAACCTAGAAATAAACACAAGAGGATGAAAGTAGTGCAAATACTGGAACACCTTAAATTAATATTGAAGAAAAGAGACTCTGGGGCCCAATATAATTCAATGCCAATCTTTTTTGTTTCCAGACTCTATCAGCTCTTTCTGCTACTGTTTGTAGCTTATCTACAAAGACACAGGGATGAATATCACCAATCTATCTTTGGGTACTATATATTTTAGTGCTTTACCCCATGAATATTTGTCGTCATCCTTCTGTACTCAATTCATAACTAAGCCGTTAGTTCTAAAGGACTAAGCTATAACATAAATTTTGGATTAAAAACACTTCCAAGCAATGTTTTGCTTCAATATACTTTTCTTAAGCCAAAAAAAAAGAGATGGTGAACACATTCATCTTCCAAATAGTGTTCCCATTGCTGGGAGTTGTCACTCCCTGGCTGCTCTTGCCATGCCTATCCACACAATGTCCCAACACAGATCATGGCTTTTTGAGACAACTGTTTGGTAATTCTCTGTACAGGACATGTATCTGCATCTTCCCAGAGATGACCATTCCTTGGGTCTGTGTTTGCTTCCACATCTTCTGACCTCCTGTAAATTCACTTAAGAACAGTCTGCAGACCTTGTGTTTTCCTTTCCCTGTGCATTTGCTTTTTATGTTTGTGGTTTGCTGATGCCATTGACTATCACACCTTCCTCCTTCCAGGTAAATATTCACAAACCTGGACAATTCCAACAATTTAGATCTTTTTTTCTTTTTCTTTTCACCCCTGCAGACTGATCTCAAATTAGGTATAGTATTAGTCTTCCAAAATTCTATACTTGGCTTCCAATGTTTAGAAATACTTGAGAAGTTTCTCTAGTTACTGAATTTTTATACTCAAAAGTCAACCTTTAAAAATACTTGCTCTTTTCATCGCTGCAAAATACAGTCTGCTGAATCTTTCAGCTTCAGATTTTGTTAGATTATTTCCATTCATCTTGTCTTCCATTTCTGCATCTCCAGATTCTTTCTATTGCTTCAGCTCATGCCACGTATTCTACTTAGAAGTAATTAGCAAGAACTCCAAATCAGTATTTATAGTCATTACGAATATTTGTAATGAAACCTAGCAAAAAGGAGCTTTAAAGAGTGGGTGAGACACTCTCGAGCATCAGTCAGATTATTAATACCAAACTAACAAAAGCAACAATTACTAATTTAAGCTGCAGCTCTTTAGAGGATCCTGGATTTATCCTAAGCCTCACAAACAATTTGAAGGTGCCATTCAAGCAAGCTGAGCTTTGAAACTGTCCTTTATTTTAAGAAGCATTACTGTAAAGAAGTCATATTTACAACTATAGCGCACATCAAATCATTAAGCAAAACGAAACAACAACGGTGACTTGGGAATCCATTTGCCTCCTTAGAAATAAAGTATTAAATAAATAAACAAAGTATTTGATTGTGGGGACCCTCCACATCTATACAACACAATCTACACATACATCACACTTCCACATGCGTTTATTTTTTTCTATATTCTATATATGCTTTCTCTATATTTAGCACCGGGAGCATGATTACACAGCAAAAGACCAAGTTTTGCATTTCATTTTAACTTCTTTTCTGCGTTTTTATTTTTCTGCAAGAACTCAACTAAAAACACCAGCACTAAGGAGCTTGTTAAGCACCCCTTTCCTGTGCCTTATGAAAAGTTTTGATAACGAACTACAGATTATCATGTTACTTACATTGATATCTTCCAAATCTAAACTATTCAAAACGACATTGTTCCTCTTCCAGATGATGGGAGGTCTCAGAGTGCCCTGAATCTCACAACTTAGGACAGCACTTTGTCCCACTGTTGCTGCTGTGGTGCTTATTTTTTGATCTTCTGGCAGACTCAGCTGAACCACCTCTGCAAAAGATATATTGTTTGTAAGGTTAATTAGCATGCAGTTTCATAAGGTTAATTAGCAGGCAGTTTTTGCACACTACTAATTTGAGGATTTTAATTGGAATCAAAGTAAAAACCTTCCAACAACCACAGGAAGGTTCAGAGTATTTCAAATAAAAGGTCAGCATGACATTTCAATTAAACTGACTGACAAGTATCACCTGATAAGAAAGCAAGCACTTAACACGAATCTCAGAGGTAAGACTATAATAAACACGACATGCTAAATTCAAAGATAGACACTGGAAGTTATTTAACAGTTAGGAAAATTAAGTATGGTCGTTAGCATCTTCATTTAAACTGAAATAAAAGAATGGCTGTAGAAGTAAGACATACGTGTGAGTTCATTTTCTGAAATTTTCTTTACTGCTCTGGCTTCATTACTCATCTCTTCTATTTCAGTCTCTTGTCAATATGCATCACTCATAGTTCACACCAGTTTCAGAAAACAATATCAAAATAATTACTTCTAATTTTCTCTGGTCAAACATTATTCCTTTCATAATTTGAGAAATCCAGAGCAAGAGCAGTAAATAGTCATAGTACCTTAATAAATCTCTTCTAAACACTGAAAATCAAAGAACAAGAAAGACCACTTTATAATACGAATTCTCAAATTACCGTATCTGCCAAGGAACAGTAGCAAGAACGATGATGGATTACAGCATGCAGCACAAGTACAGGGTGCAGCACTGGAACCAGCGGAGGACAAACCTCAAGAAAATGCAGCACTTCCCTTGAAATACCCTGAACTCTTCCAGTTCACCAATATCCACCATCTACTCTTTGCATTTGCTGTGCGGAACACGGAAACGCACTAGTGCTAACATAAAACTGGTTTACAAGCCTTTACAAAAGCATTTTTGCTTTACTTGGTATGGCCTACAAAATATCTGTAAAATATCTGCACAAATACATTTTATACAAATACATTTTATACAAATATATTTTATATGTACAAATATATACGTACGAACACCCGAGGGGAGAATCTAAAGAGGATGGGGATCAGCAAAAAGTGTGCAAAATGTCTGAAGAAATTAAAATTCTCATTGAATAATTCTCATTCTCTATATGAATAAATATAGTAGTAAATACCAACTATACAACCTTTAAAAGGAAAGTAATTTTAATTTAGCTAACCCTTTGTCATACGATTTTGGAAAAAATTTACTTCATGCAAAACCAAGGAACTATTTCGAAGCTGCTAGCAATAGAGAACTACTCCCAGTCCTTTGAACCTAAAAGTATTCAGAAAATAAATCACCTTCCATTTGTCATTGCCTCTAACACTTCATATAGCAAAAAACAACGCCAACACAGAGCTTTATGAACTACCTTTGTATGGCAACACAAATTGAAAACAAACCGACTGAGCAAATAGCAACATGAAAAAAAGAAACTACGTGAATTCATTTCTACCCACGGAGAAAAGCTTATTTATTTATTTATTTAAGATTTAGATTTTTGTATTTAGATTATGTGCAAATGCTCTTTCAAAAATTAAGGCGTGTGCCAAAAAAGTCCTGCCGTTTTGCCTCACTTTCATAACCTTCTATGAAGAGCATCCAAATAGCAATTTCTTCAACTCAGCTGCTAGAGCATGAAAAATCTCAGGTTATCTTATATTTCATTTTTTAAATTAACTTCACTAAGCATCATGTATCTATTCTGTGTTAATTACCAAATCAGTTTTGTATAAGAGACACATTAATCTTGATTATAGCAAAAGAGCAATCTATGAACAAGCTAAGATCCTTTTTGTTTTTAGCCTCATAAAAGCAATGCTTTGTAACTAACACAGTTAAAAAGACGATATTTTTTGTTTAGCGTTTTTCTTTTCCCCCACACCCCAGAAGCAAGCAAGGCAGCATTTCAATAGCTTCAAGACGCAAAGCTTTGTTGTTCTATAATTAAAAAATAAAAAACAATGTCCTAGTTTTAGAGTATGGGACAAAAAAGGCTTCATTTTTGCCTTTCCGGAAGGAATGCTCGACAACACAAAACTGAGTGAAATTGCCCACCAGATATGCACAAATGTGATCATTTCATTTTTTTTTTCTAAGGATACTATGTGACAAAACTTACAATACTAGGCAAAGGAAATGTATAAATTGAATACTGTGCTGTTGGCTGGAGTTTCTAGGATGCATTGTATCCATCTGGTGATGGATCCAATCCATTTTAGCCCCTACCTCCTGTTACAGGAAATCACTCTTCAGAACCTCAAAAAGATCTCAAACAAAAGGTAAATATTATGAAAGTCAATTTATAGAGGGGTAATTATTCATGTTTTCCAAAGTCATTATTTAAGATAGTCATGAAGCAATGATTATAAAATCAACTTTTGGCATTGGACCCTCTATGACAAATTCATGATAAATTCACATGATAATTTGAGTTACCTAACTTGCACAATTTAAAGGCTATCATATTTTGAAACCTGTTTTTTTTCAGTGAATAAAAGTATTACTGTGAATGGCTGTATACAGAGGGTAGACAGCAACTGTCTACTGTAGAAACATTTTTTTTAATCAAAATGCAACAGTAGAAAAGGGAACAGTTAACAAATGTAATGTTTAGTGTTTCCCTCATAACAAAGATGGTATTCACAATTCAAGAGGAAGATAGAACTATCATTCTATTTTGTTAAAACCAATGATTCATTTGATTTTTTTAACTGCTTTGTATTTACTTGCAATCATATCCTTACCTCACTAAATAACGCTTAGGAAGAAGCAAAAAGTAATAATAAAAGAGTAAAATGATAATACTGATTTTGCCATAGGAATTCCCTAAAAATGATTTAATTAATTCTCATACTTCAATATGATCTACGGTAATATTCCATTTATAGTTTCTCTCATTTACCTCCATTGTACTAAACAAGGTGAAGGCATAAGTTCTTCAAATTAAGTACAGTTGTCTCATGTGGAAAAAATGAATGCATTGAAGTGTTACATATTTGTTAAGATTTATAAAAAAATCACTTTAATAAATATCCTAGAAGCATTTTTTTGGGATTGTTTCTACTCAAAATAACGAAAATGACTTAAGTAAAACCTTTCAATATTACACAATTATGTATGATAATTTGGATTAGTAACTTTTTTAGAAAAAAAGTTCTTGATGAAACTGAAGTAAATTTTCTACAGATAGACCTTTTCTACATATTTACGTTTCATTGGAGGGGGAAAAAAAATAAGGGCAGTATCTGTAGTTCTTTGACAGGTAATCCTTGAAAACCATGTTAATTAGGTGCCTACAGGCAGCTGGATGAGGCATTAGCAATAACCTATGTGTGTGCAAAGAAACTAGACCAAGACAGGGACGAGTCTTGTCTTGAGGGAAGTGTTTGCCAGGGAGCAGGTCTCTCTGGTCAACAGTGCTCAGAGGCCTAGGCCCGGGCCTAAATAACCCATGCACCATCCCTTCTTTCCTCCCCAAAGGAAATGAACCTGGTTCTGAGAGCAAATTCTACCAGGCAGTAACAGGAAATTTATGTAGGTTTTAGCTTATCATTTGCTGTTGTCAAAAGTATGCAAGGCACACTGCATTGATGACCTTGGTTTGGCTCCTCCAGATGCATCATCATTCAGGTTAACCAAGTTGTGGAGTTCTGAATCAGAAGTCACTGATGAAGCCCCTTCTGAATAAATGATTGAGGTTAGAAGCAACAAAAATAGTGAATCCAGAGTAAACATTAGATGTTTGGAAGACTGGTGGAATGTTATCTTATAAAGTGGCACTCACAAGTAAAAAAAGAGAAACTCTTATTGAAAGAGTTCAAAGAAACTTGAGATGAAAAAAAATGCTATTGTTTTAAATATCAGACACTCCCATGCTGTTGATGGAGGTACATGAGAGCTCTGAAAAACTTCACGGCTGCTGCAGCTATTCTGCTAACTCTCGTACCCTTAATTCGGCCAAACAGTAAAAAAGCCAAGTTCTTTAGATTCCTTCCACTATACTTTTCCTTGATAATCTTTTCGCTTTCCTAGATTCAACTTGAATTCATCCTTCTTGAAAAGAGATGAACTAGAAGAGCACACAACATTTTGGATGAAAAATGTGCCACGTATTGGCTGATCCATATGTTTTCTTGAAAAGCTTCAATCAATACGTCTGAAGAACGCAACTGCCATTTTCACATTGACCTCCTGTGGCACCTCACACTCACCCTGTGATTGCCAAGGCCACGCAGCTCTCCTCTTTGTATGTTCCTATTAGATGAGTTCTCAGCTTGAAGCAGAGTTTCTGGTTATTAACCAACTATAAGTTACAAAGCCCCAGATCTTATGTTTCTTCTCATTTTTACTGTGCCAGATCATAAGCTGCGATTTCCTCTCCTATAAAAATCTGATACAGAGAAAGGCATACTGTTGTCAAAGGATTAGTGAAAGTATTAAATAAGCTTGTTTTTCACATCAACTCTGGAAAACTTCACTAAGAACATCTTCCCAGAACTTCTTCCATATTTTATTCTACCCATATCGCCTCCTTTTTAAGCTCTTTATTCTCTGCTATCAGTTTATCAATTCCTTATTCTTTACTAATTCCCAGTGTTTCAGGTGATTCAGCAGGTTTTTGTGTGATATCACACCTTATGCTTTGCAGAAACTAATCAAAATAGTTCATTTTCTATATAGAACCACAGAGTCATTATGGTTGGAAGAGATCTTCAAGATCATCGAGTCCAACTGCAAGCCCCTCAACACCAAACCTGTTAAACCACATCCTGCTTTTGTTTATCCTTCAGTTAAAGCTACATCAGTTTAAGATCACTTGATGCAAGGTTGTTTTCAAAGTTATTTTTCTGAATCTTGTTGTGAGACAAATATTTCCCTGCTGTTTTTCTAAAATAACCTAAGAAGTTACTGAAACCAAGTGCAAAACATTACCACCTCCTACTGAATCAGCAAAGAAATGGGTCAACTATCATATGCTGCTTTATTTTGCTTTGCTCTGCAAT